GACTGAAAAGTAACTCAGCCCAACTCAGACAACTTACTAGGGTTATATTCGTAAAAATGTCTTCTGTTTTTTTGTTTGGTCACAGAGGACTATATTGTAATTTCATAGCCCTTTTAGGTTAGATTTGCATTTGATTCAAGTTGGGGTCTAGTATTGGGGTTAAAACCAAGTTGTGGGTTAGTTTTGGCAAAAACCCCTACTATTTATTTTAAAAATGCAAAGGTATTCTAGATTGTTCCTACACTAGCCAACACCAGTTTGCCTTGAGATTGCATCTCAATGTACAGTACTATTGCTGAGACATAAGCTTCTATATTATTTCACAAGAAACTTTCTGTTTACATAAAACAAATTACATTTTATTTTGCATCTAATATTTTTAAGTTATGGATTCATTTAGGTAAAAACATACACTAGAAGTCAATCATTAGTTAGTTAACATATTATTAGCCTTAAATAGCCTCACAGTAATTCCAAGTTGCACAATTTGCTCATTATTATTGACTACATACCAAATAGAATCTATACTACAGTACTAAAGATCAGTTCCACCCTTTATTTTGTTTTCTTGTTTACTTACACACAAAAGAAGACTGATCATCTAGACAAATTATAGGCAATATATGAAGATCTATTTGATATAGAAAGATTAATAAAATTTCCATATGAAAAGATTGAGTATCTTTACCGCAAGATTGCATAACCGTTTTGTGAATTTGTTACTCAAAACGAATATTAATAATTATTCATCCACACCTACATGCAAATTTTTAAGAAACAAACAAAAAAGTTTATCGCTACATTATCTCGCTCACATAAATCCAAATCCTCCTCCAACCTCACATTATTTAACATTATACATAATAATTTCCTCAAAGAAAATAAAAAAATAACATTATATATAAATTTCCTCAAAGAAAATCAAAATAAGAAAAAAATAAACAGAGATATATATCTATCTATATATACATCCAATAAAGATCACCTGTGCATGAATGATACAACCTTAATTCTAGAAAAAGCCAGAGACTCTCACAAAACAGAACTCATTAGTTTGATCTCAGTCTGGTCATTTCCACAAACAAATGATGTCCTCATCATCATCAGCCACCGATACCATCACTAAGCCGTTGTCCTTGCCGACGGTGGAATCAGTCACGTGCCACACGTGCGGTTTCACAGAAGAGTGCACGCCGGCTTACATCCAACGGGTCAAAGATCGGTACAAGGGACAGTGGCTTTGTGGGCTTTGCGCTGAGGTGGTGAAAGACGAGGTGGTTCGATCTCCGACTAGAATCTCCGTCGAGGAAGCTCTCCGCCGCCACACAACGTTCTGCCACCGGTTCCGTTCTTGTAGTCTACACGAGGAGGAAGATCCCATTTCAGTCATTGGTAGGATTATACGGCGGAGCCTCGACGGTTCTCCACGTCCAACCACCACGAGGACGAGCTCTAGTGGGGCTTTGCTTGGAATCGACGGCGTAGAGTCACGACGGTCGCTTCTCCGAACTGGGAGCTGTTTCCCGTCTCTCTCTACTTGATCAAATGTGTTAGTTGTAAATTTTGGTATTGCTTTCCTTCATTTTTGCTTAAGACTGTTATTTTGTATTTTCTTACATTTTAGGACAAAAAAAAAAAAGATTTCGACGATTTAATGTCCTATAATTAATAAATTATTAAGGGGTAAAGCTCAGATTATGTGAAGATTGTAATCCTTGATCTCTAATAATTAACTGTAAATTTAGGTTTGTGCCTTGAATGCCAATAACGTGCAATATGTAGTACATGTAACTAATCTTATATATTAAAACAGAAGTCATGACTTCACTTCATGTGTGATATTTTAAAATAGACCATCTAATAAAGTTTATGACATTACATTATTCAATCATTAATAATATTCATTAGATTCACTAATAACATTTATTGGGCTTACTATAAACTTTTATTGGACTAATAAAAATTAGATGATCCATTGGATTTATAGATATTATAATAAAATACATGTTTAAATTAAACTTATATAATTTAATATTGTAATAGTATAAGTTAATATTTATATATTTTTTATGTTAACTTTAAAAATTATATAGTTTATTTTTAAAAATAACAAAATCATCATTTTCTAACAATAATTAATCTACACTATATAATAATTAATCATCATTTTCGATATGCACACCTTATATAATATATACCAATTTAGAAGTAAAAAAATGTTTATATAAAAATAAATGAAAACAAATACCCGCGCGGTTGCGCGGGTTGAGATCTAGTNTTAAAAATTATATAGTTTATTTTTAAAAATAACAAAATCATCATTTTCTAACAATAATTAATCTACACTATATAATAATTAATCATCATTTTCGATATGCACACCTTATATAATATATACCAATTTAGAAGTAAAAAAATGTTTATATAAAAATAAATGAAAACAAATACCCGCGCGGTTGCGCGGGTTGAGATCTAGTGAGTCTTACAATATAAGCACCTACAAAACCTCTTGAGTATAATGTCTTTCTTCAGTTGAGTGATATTTTTATAAAATGCAAAACTTGAATAAAATGTAAACTATTATCAAATTATTAATACTTTTATTACAAAAAACGAATGGGAGTATATTTATCAATGGAGATAATAGGTGTTCTAAAAAAGCATGCTGTTATATTGTTAATAGTTAAGGTTTATTCAAAAGCCTTTCAAAATAAGTTAAGGTTTTTCTATTATTGAAGCTTGCTATAATGTATGTTGTTGAAAAAGAAAAACAAGTTAGTATGATAGTACTTTTATGTAATACATGATATGTTGTTTATTTGTATCATATTCATAACAGAAATATTTCACGCATAATGTTGATGTAATTATTGGTGAGAAAATGTTTATTTTAGATATATTAATTCGTAAATATATTAACTTTAATATCAAGAAATCCTCTTTTAGGCTTTTTTTTTTGGTAAAATAACCCTCTTTTAGTTTGTTGGATCATAGTAGTCAATACTGAGATCGTTTTAGTGTTTTTTGTCTTAGCCAATGATTTAATTAGAAGTAATTCTAGAGTTAAAAAGAACACACATATATATATATATATATATATATATATATATATATATATATAAGCTGAAGTTAAGATAATTACAAGTATAAATAGAAAGAGCATATGCCCAAGATAGATGACTATCTTCTCATATCTCAACAATAGTAAAGATTTGTCTTCTGAAATCATAGATTACATGCTCTATAATATGTCCCTTTTTTATCAGAGGCTGTCTGACCTTTTGATCTGACGTGGTTATGAGATTGATTAAAAAACTGATCCAACACCTAGATCCAGCAGACTGAAGTTGCTAAACCACAAATCAGACTGTCCCCCAGTCGCAGTGTTTTCTTATAACCAACTAGTGTTTTGATTTAACAACGATCTATATATTTCAAATGGGATAAAGTAAATTTATCCAAATCCAAATTAAACCCAGTCTGGTCATTTCACAAGAAAAACAAACAGTGTGCGTGTGTCAATGGTACACACTGCGACTTATTTAGTGATCATGTATGCCACATGTATTTGCATCACTGAGAAAAAAATTGGTAGCAATTGTTATAGTTATCATTAAACCATATACATATACTCATATATTATGCTAGCTGATGCATATGTTAGTGATGTCTTCAGAGTTCTAGTCATGGTGCATTTATACTTAGTAATAGCATTATTGTATGCCAATCACTTTGCAATCTTAGTTAGAACATACTAAAAATTTAGTATGCATGCTAGATCCAGTTAAAATGTCATATGTGATAATGGGAATGCAGAGTACATGCAGATATGTCAAGGTTGGTATGATGAAGAGACTCAAGTGTTTCACGTTTCATGTTTTTCCAAATCGCTTTCACATCGCTCCCTTATTTGTGTGGTGCAATACGTATTACCTCATCACTTTGTTTCCCAATTGTAATACACACAGCAAATTTGGCATTTTATTCTTTATTGTTTGCTAATTTATTTTTTAATAAAAACAAATTTCATGTTTTTCTTTCTTTTTAATTTTCTGGCCATTTTTAACTTTTTGGATTAAAAATATCTTGAGCTTTCAAGAATATCTCTAAGTATACCTACCAAAATTTGTACTTACCGTTCCATAAATTCGTTTGATTTGAAGTAAATTATATAGATTTTGAGTTTTAGATCTTCTTCTGGATTCCGGATGTCACGATGAATATTTAAATTATATGGATTTTGAGTTTTAGATCTTTTTCTGGATTCTGGATGTCACGATGGATATATCCATTTGGATCATATATTCATTTTGATTTATTTAAAAAGTTAATATCCAGATTCATATCTTAACTTCTTGAATATCTAGAATATTAAAATGGACTAGACGTTCAGTGGATTATGGTGGCAATATCGAAATTAATATTCTCCCAAATGCTTTAGAATGGTGTATACACATGATACATTTTTATCAGAACTTCTATCTATTTGGTTGATATAGAACAAAATAGGGTTTAACTATGAGAACTAAATGGAATATACCATTTACTACAAAATATTATATTTTTATCCACACATTTAGAGAGCACAGAAGAAATTTATGTGATAATTACGTAAGTGACATGGATAAATTTGATGTCGTCATTTTCAATAGTGCACAATAATTGCTGACCATACATCATTTCTTCAATATTATCTAAGTGTCTCATTCACCAACTACTTGTATCAATGAAGGGTATAAACATACAAAATAAAAACTAAATGTTATTGATTATTTTCTCTCAAAATTAAGGTTATGCACTTAATTTTCTATCTAATTTTGGTTATTAAGTAAATTTTCTCTTTATTTAAACTACATTAAACCATATTTTCCTCTATATTGATTTGCTTCATCTCGTTTATGCTATACTATGATGAAGGTTTCTTATGAATTCTTTTTTATTTCTTTCGAGTAAGCCTTAGATTAATTAAATTTCTTGTAACTCTAAATCCAAACTTCTAATATAAAAGCTTCAATGAAACTTCAAGTGGATTAAAAGGCTTCCAATAAGTTACAACTTTGAAGGTTTTTTTATGAACTTTTTTTATTTCTTTTGAGTAAACCGTAGATTAATTAAATTTCTTGTAACTCTAAATCCAAACTTGTGATATAAAAGCTTCGATGAAACTTCAAGTAGATTAAAATGCTTCCAATAGGTTACAACTTAGAATATGATCGTTTCTATTTGGTTAAATTGAATTGAGATTGTTGGTGTAATAATAAAGCTTTTGACTTATTAATAAGTTCACTGGACTATAATTTAAACCCACAATGATACTTAGCTTTTCGATCGTTTATTCTTCTTCACATCTCACACGATCAAAGAAACTTAAAGCCATCGCATGATTCACATGACCTTCTACTAGGGAATCAAAGCTACAATCCTCTTTAATTTCTGCAAAAACTGATTCATGGCTCGGTTACATCTTCACCTTACTCGATTAGCATCGATCTAAATGCGTTTATGTGTTTGATGTTTGATCATCTTTCAGGGTTCATTTTAGATAATTAAGAACGCAATATACCCTCTCTAATCACCTTTACATGTTATTAACTAAAAACATGACATATAACGACTCGGACATAAATAGCTATGATGTACTTAAATTGATCAACAAATACTGGATTCGTCATGAACAAATCGCAATGACACCGATGGTGAGAGCCCACCTGTACTTGGAGTTTAAATTCCAAGTTATGTAAGCCTGTCGGAGCTCAACTAATCTCAAGGGTGGGTGTCTATGATAGATCATTGGAGAAAGTCTCCACCATATATCTTTAACTAGGCCGACTCTCAACCCCATCCGGCCCAATAACAATACATATTCGTCTAAATATAAAGATCCACCATACTTTAATAACTTCCTTCATGCAGAGTCTACTCTATGAGTTTTGATTGAGTATTGCTTCTTTATAGTATTCAGGAGGACGAGATCTTTTCCACGTTTTGTCCACCGAATTAATGGTTTAAATAATAAAAGCTCAAAATTCAAAGAGACACAGAGCCTTAAAAGAGGCAGAGGAAGGTAAGTAAACTGTCCATGATAGCCTACCGTAATTACTGCTTCTGCCACCTTCTTTCTTCACTATAGAGAGTCTCTCACACCTCTCTCTTTCTTGGTTTCTTTGCATTGTTTTTCTCACTCGCCGCTTCTTGTTCCTCCCTTCTCTTTTTTTTTTCCTCGAGGGTCGGTCACTGCATGTTTTGCTCTTGACTCGAACCATTCCTCTCTGGAGTTTAAACTACCTGAGAAGATACTCTCCGGCAAACAATGTCTGCTACTTCATGCAGTGTCGGAGGAGAACTAGCTGGTGGTGAAACATGTTCGGCTCTTGCTAAGTCTTCCTTACCGCCGCCTCGTCCGAAGTCTCCACCGGAATATCCAGATTTGTACGGGAAACGCAGAGAGGCGGCGAGAGTCCAGATGCTAGAGAGAGAGATAGGTTTTCTCGAGGCAAGTTAATTAATAACTCTCAGTCTTTTTTTTAATCTGCCACATTTTGATTACTCTGAGGAAAGTGTCCGAATATTTTGAATTTCATGATTCATTTGTTTTACTAGTCCTTATAACTTAAACAAATGGTATGAACTGTACTGGCTTCTGACTATAAAATTAACTACTTTTTAAAACTTAATTAATTTTTTTTACTTGTCTTCTAAGTTCTAACATTAGAGCATGGGGTTTTAAAATAGTCACTAGTATTTGTTTTGTTTTTGTGTGTTCGTGAGAAAAGAGGTTATTGATTTGCTTAAACTTGGGTCCCTACTATATCCAGGTTGGTTTGGACTCTGGACTGTTTTGTTATGTTTGACAGCAAAATATAGAAAACAAGACATCTTCTTATCTTCTCTTAGATGCTTTCAAAAAGAGTAATTAATTTGTCACCAGACTCATTTATATCAAATTGATTTTCAAAAAGTACTCCTACCAAAGACCTTGCCCATTAAAATTAATTGCATGCTGAAACTGAAAATTAATTGGAATCATTGATAAGGCCCTAATATTAACATTTTTGTTAGTTGGAAGGGGGTGGGGGTGTTTGAAACTAAACCAATTGAGTTTCTATGCTTTTCCTTTAGCCTCTCATCTAATCTAACCTCGTTAATTTTCATAACCATGATTCTCAAATTAATAAAACTTTTATAGTTATAATTTTCAGTGTAATTAAATTCCGATATAAAATACAAAAAAAAAACCGTCTGATCATCTTGAAATGTGAAGTGATGGATGAGTCGCCCATTTACTCTGATGTTTCATCACTGAGTCATATGTGTTCGTTCGTGCATGTGTACTATGAAAGTGAGTGCTTAGAAAAAATGAGTATTAAAAGTACAATATAAAGAAGAGAAAAAGAGAGAAAGAGCTAAAAATCATTTACTGTATTTGTTTAGCTTCCTTTGTAGTTTTTTATCTTTTTCTTTTCCATATAAATCAATTTGTGAAAGTTTTTCTCTTTAGTGCTATTTGCTATCTTTGCTCAATTTTACTTCATGTTGCTTTCCCATTTCCTACTATGTTTGCTTTATATAATGTATTTTTTCATATAATTGAGAAATGAAATCATTCTTAAGCTAAAATTAAGAATGTCGCATGAGCAGGGGGAAATTAAATTCATCGAAGGCGTACAACCGGCTTCTAGATGCTGCAAAGAGTAAGATGATCTCTCTACTCATTTTAGTTTATTTGGTACAAAAAAAATATGTCTATTGAATTTCATCTATGTTATCTATGTTTGTTTACTGTGGCAGGGTCTCTGATTTTGTCGTTGCAAATTCTGACCCATTGATCCCCGCGTAAGAATATGTCTACTTCACGCAGTGACTTCAAATTTCTCTTACTCTTCCCGCTCTTACAATTCCTTTGATTATTGTCTTCATAAGAACAGACAACAAAAGAGTCGAAGACATTCCCGGTTCTGGAAGTGGCTCTGGTAAGAACTCATTACCACCCCATAATTCTCATTTTTATTGAAGTTTAATTATTTTCACTTCTTTGCGACCAATGTATGATAATTGTCTGTCCAATAGATATATATATATATATATATATTCAAGAAATCACTTACAATATCAAATGCATGTTTGATATTCATTTTGAGACCGTCCTAGTAATTGTCCTAATAATATTTTTAGGTAACGCTTGATCTTATATGGACAGAGTGAAGAATAAAATAATATATATGTCTTAACAAGATGATTACTAATCAAATAACTTGTTGCAGTTGCGGTATTCCGTGTTTGAGCCTATCGAGTTTCTGCTGTTGCTGCCAATCCAAGTGTTCGTGCAATCTGAGTAAGCCCAAGTGCTGCAACTGCACAAGTTGCAGCTGCACTGGTTCCAAATGCTGTGAAGGATCATGCTGCTCAAATAGCTGTTGTTGCCCGAAACTGAGTTGCCCAAGCTGTTCATGTTTCCGAGGTTGCTGTTGTTTTTGTCCGGACTTATCTTGCTGCATACCCACGTGTTGCACTCGACCATCGTGTCTGAATAAGAAGAAGAAGAGCTCATGTTGCAGCTGCAACTGCAAGATCAGATGGTCTTCGTGTTTTAGATGTCCCAAGGTACGATTTTGTTGTTTTTGCAATTGTAAAAATCTATGTTCCAATCCTTGTTGTTTAGCTTTCTAATCATTATTATAGTTATAGCTATTTTCTCTATAGTCATATTTTTGTTCATTTCTTTTTTATCTTCTTACAGTTTGTATTAAACATGTTGATATTATTATTATTTCTTGTAAGTGATGATTTCTATTAAGCGAGCCTCCCATGAGATAAGTGGCATCTAAAAAATGATAATTACAGTTTAAGTTACATGTTAATATATTATATATACGTTATTCAGTTTGAAGTAGCTCATTACATAATTATATCATCTGATTTATTTCAATCCATTGTGCTATAGTTGTTTAGGATAATGTGTTTCAACGTTATTTATTTTTGTTTTACATTTAAAATAACATGCACAAGTTAACATAAGATAATATCTAAAGATATATTGAGAGATTTAAAGTTCGCTGTCAAGTTCAACGCCTATGGTTGGGTTGAGTTGATTTATTTTTTGTACATGTATTTCCTACCAAGCCTCTCTCCCACCAATTTAAAGACATTTTGAGTGTTTTTTTGTTTTTTTTTTGTAACACAAATAACTACATTGTTTTTTTGTTAAAAGAAAAAAACTACGATGCAAAGAATGTCTTCAATGTCAAATTAATTTTGGATTGATTGGTACATAATCGCAGTAGCACAAAAATAAAGTCAGCAAAGCCATTAAATTAGTTAGCAAAAAAAGCGCCATAAGATTATATTTCCTCACGGTTTGGTTCATACGAGTCTGATAAGTGATATCAGGCAGAACTGAATACTAAACTCTATAACCAAATTTTACCGAGATACGTAGGACAGAACTATATACAAAATTGACGAAACATGTATAACAGAGAATCTGACATAACATTCATTGCTTTTCTCCGATGGTTATTGGTTACCCAGAGAGATCGTAGAGATATCCGTATTAATTACCAAACAATTTATTTATCAAAGAATACAGAGAATAATTTGAAAGAGGTAAAAAATTATTAGATTTTTTCATGGTGAAAATATATTAATAACCATACAGATATGTGTAATAATGATCAAGGGTTTCTGGGTCTGTACGGTACGGATCTTAACTGGTGATCAGAAGTCAGAAGTGAAGGTCTTTTCTACTTTTGCCTCTTCGTTCTGAGTTCTTGTTGTATTTAAGAGGTCCCATTAAAGAAAGACTGAGGTGTTGTCTACGTCAAGAATGGTCGAAAACGAAAATAGATGAAATTTAGGGTACACAATAGTGTCAGATAGGAGAGAAAATACAGAAGTGATACCTCTCTGCATAGAGGAAGTGCTGGCAACTTGTCAATTTTTTTTTTGTTTTTTTTTACAACTATAATTTTCCTGGTAAAAAAGGTTTACTGATCTTTTAATTTCAAACTAGATCTCAACCCGCGCAACCGCACGGGTATTTGTTTTCATTTATTTTTATATAAACATTTTTTATTTCTAAATGGGTATATATTATATAAGGTGTGTATATCGAAAATGATGATTAATTATTATATAGTATAGATTAATTATTGTTAGAAAATGATGATTCTGTTATTTTAAAAAATAAACTATATAATTTTTAAAGTTAACATCAAAATATATAAATAATTATCTTATACTATTACAATATTAAATTATATAAGTTTAATTTAAACATGTATTTATTATAATATCTATAAATCCAGTGGATCATCTAATTTTTATTAGCCGAATAAAAAAATTAATAAACTCAATAAATGTTATTAGTAAATCTAATGAATGTTATTAATGATTGAATAATATAATGTTATAAATTCTATAAGATGGTCCATTTTAAAATATCACACATGAAGTGAAGTCATGACTTCTGTTTTAATATATAAGATATTTGACTTGATTGATTATAAAAACCTAGAAAATTAGTCGTAACTCTATAAGATGTTATTATATAATTTTCGTTAGCAATTTCCTTACCTTTAGTAATATTTGTTTAGTAATATTTGTTTTGTTGATCATGCATGCATGTTACTCTAACTGAGCGCAAGGCCCCGGTTTTTCTGTCAACAAACTAAACAGAGCCCAACTTTATTGTACCAAATGGCAATAAGCCCATGCATGAACCAAGCTTCTACCAAACTCAAGAAACCTTTTTTTTTGTTGTTGAACACAACCAAATTCAAGAAACCCTGAACAAGTTTTACCATAATGTAGCTTGAATTAGTTTCATACTAAAAACTACAACTAGCATCTGCAATAGTATGAAACCTTTTTTTCTGGCAGCATGCAATAGTATGCATGAACTAAAACTCTCCATCTTTCTTTACCGTACACAAATATGATTTATGAGAGTACCCACATCCATGAGAACCCTTCTAAGGTTTTCAAGCAAAAAAAATATTAGTATTTTAATCTAATTTAACTAAAATTAAATTTTAATCTCCAAATAAAACTTGAATCAATTGAAAATGGCAAAACTTATATGAAATTCTAAAGAGTTATTTTTTTTGAGAAAACAAATTCTAAAGAGTTTCTCAAACGTTCTCTTTTGAAAACTCTTTTCTAATCTTTCTCTTCATTTTTTATTATTTTGTTTTATTTATTGATGAGAACTCTTCAAGAAAACCTGCCAATGCAGATGCTTAATTCATAATCAACTTTTGTACGAATAGACAAACACTATGCTCAGGTTACTTGAATTATTTCAACACTGCAAACTGTATAAGTTATATAACTAGCATCTGCAATAGTATGCATGAACATAGGCTAGAAATCTCGGTCTTTAACTAGAAATCAATAGTATGAAACCTTTTTTCTTGCAGCGTGCAACAGTATGCCTGAACTATTAAACTAGAAATCTCGGTCTTTAACTACCGGATTCAAACATGAGTTGCTAACATACTGAAGCAGTTTTTGTTCAAATAGGCAAATACTATGCATCGATTAAAAGAAAGAGGATTGAAAATTGAAAATTTTAAATAATAATACCCATCAAAAGACAATAAGATAGTAAATGCCCTGAGCAAGAGGGAACGTTGAAGAGCCACACAAATTCGAAAGATGATGAGATGAGAGGATAAGAAACAGTGCAGAGGAGTCCAAATTAGAGAAGGAAAAGACATGTCTACTCTTTATTCAAAACTGGTCCACATCAATCTCGCTTCTTCTCCATTCCTTTCGATTTTTACATATCTTTTTATACAAAAATATCTCATAAAAAGCGTCGCCTCCTAGATATTTTCTGTAAAAAAAAAAAACATTAGGAGCTTCTAACAGTTTTTACCATTCAAGCTTCACGTTCTTACCATGTTGTACATTTATCAGAAGATTCAGAACCCAAACCTTGAGAGTAACTAGTTCGGATTCATGAATTTTTTAAAAAATTAGCATACTATAAAAAGATTAAAAGATCTGCCACAGCCGTGTTAGGTTTATACTTTTGCATTAAGCAAATGATTACTTTTACTCTTTTAACAGTTGAATGGAACAAAAGTTTCTTAAGAAGTTAAGATTACTGAAAGCGAACCATTTATCACCATTCTCCAAACTGACAAAAATCTCTGACATGATGCCCCATACATCCATGTGGGCTTTTCCCCACATACGTACACTCAAAGTTCACATGCATGCAATGCTAACAAAAAAAAAAAAACTATCTCTCTAGCTTGGTTCAAGACCCTCCTAACGTTAACAATATCAATATCTTATAGGGCTCTCTATATAAACTAGACGGCCTATCTTTCTGCCTCATAACTTCAAGACTCTTCTCTAAATAATCTTTAAGAAAATTATGAAAATGATAATCCACATTTTCATCATCCTCTCTTTGGTTTCATCCATCTCTTTTGCCTCAGTTCAAGACTTTTGTGTAGCTGATCCAAAGGGTCCTCAAAGCCCATCAGGATACTCTTGCAAGAACCCTGACCAGGTCACCGAGAATGACTTCGCATTCACCGGTCTAGGCAAAGCTGGAAACACTTCCAACATCATTAAAGCCGCAGTGACTCCAGCTTTTGCCCCTACCTTCGCAGGCATCAATGGACTTGGTGTCTCATTGGCTCGTCTTGACTTAGCCACTGGTGGTGTCATCCCTCTTCACACTCATCCTGGTGCTTCTGAGGTTCTTGTAGTCATACAAGGAACCATTTGCGCTGGATTCATCTCCTCTGCTAACAAAGTTTACTTGAAGACTCTCCAGAAAGGTGATTCTATGGTGTTTCCTCAAGGGCTCCTTCATTTTCAGCTTAACTCTGGGAAAGGTCCTGCATTGGCCTTTGTTGCCTTTGGAAGCTCCTCTCCAGGGCTCCAGATTCTATCGTTTGCTTTGTTTGCAAATGACTTGCCTTCAGAGCTCGTTGAAGCCACAACGTTCCTTAGCGATGCAGAGGTTAAGAAGCTTAAGGGTGTGCTTGGAGGAACTAATTAAGCTTCTCTTTCGTTTTTTCTATGTTATTTTTTTCATGTGTGTTTTAGTCAATTTCGTCTGCCATTCTGATTTTTTTTTTCCAATGGTTGTTGTTTTGAGTTGTTATTGGTTTCAGTGTTTCATTTTATAATCTATTGGCTTCAACTGTATTAAGTAATAAGTATCAGTTGCAGACGTCTAAGATGGCTCTTGACTATCTGGATATTTATTTTCTCTCTAGTTCACCATACCGCATAATGTTATCTTTACACAGCATAAAAAAAATATCACATCTCCTGATTTTTTATATCTGTATTTTCTGCATATTTATAATCTAGAGAAATAAATTATTGGATATTTCAGTTACCAATTTGATGCAACGTCAACTTCGAGTTTTAACTCTGCAGCAAACCTTCTGAAAAAGGGTTGCTTTAAATTTGGTTTCTGGAATATTGTTGAAAAATGCTTTTGCTTTTAGCAAGAATATTAGTTGTATTTTTCACAAAGGAAATTTCTTTTATTTTCTCATAAACACTACCCAATTTTATGCAACTTAAAACTTCCAATTATAATTCTACACCAAAGCCTTTTCAAAAAAGAGTGTTATGAGAATTGCTTTTTTTGAAAAATGCTTTTGCTAGTCACAAGGAAATATTTTTACTTCTACAAAGCACGAAAATGTTCATTTCCACAAAAACTAAAAAAACAAGAACTACTTTTCAAAAAAATAAATAACTAGAGTATTAGAAGAAAGCAAAACGTGCCTGAGGTTGCCTCCAGGCTGTCTGCTACACCAAGAGGGAGTGCTCTGAAGAAAGGAATCCCGGTTGGGCCAGTGAGGGAGCTGTCTTGTCAGAGTAGGAAAACGAAGAAGAAAGTGAAACCCAACACACGTAAAGGAGTGAAGTCGATCAAGAATTTGAAGAAGAAATTGTCACCATGAAAAATGGAGTGTTGGAGTTACTTGTTGCTTTTCTTTCAATTTTGTTTTAGTTCTAAGGTCTAACTTAAACTTTGTGCGGCCAACATTGTTTATTATTCTCTTCAAAGTTCTGGTCATCATCATTTATGATTGATTCTAGTTGTATTTTTAAAAAGCTTATCGTATTGGCTTACCATTTGAGAAAGAAGAATATAGCCGACCACTAGGTAAGATGGTTGTGGTGTACTCACTCGTCTCGGTTGGTACTTTGCAGCTCACGTAGACAACATGATATCATTTCTAAGAGAACAACAATCTGATCGGTGCTGAGTGCCGAATACTTTGCAACCATAACAGAAAGACACTAGACGTAGACAATGGATATACAGTATCATGCACATATCAGCAAATTCAGTTTCAGTAGAGATGACGATTTGTTCAATGGCGTTTGTTTTAGTGACATAACATTAGGCCCTTAAAAAGCCCACTAGATTAGATAATAAAAAGCCCAAAAGCCATGAAAATTTAACGAGAATTAAAAAAATGTAATCATCCTCGTAATTGACTGGTTGTTCAGAGAGAGAGTTAGAAATCAAAGTGCATACCAAACATTCCAAATCCTTTTTTTGTTGATATTTACAAGTAGACAACGAGGTTACAGGTAGGAGGAGAAGCTTTCACACTGAAGCTCCCAAATCAAAACTCCAGATTGGGGGAAACGAATATGATTCAACCCTAATTTCAAGCAAACCTCCCCCCTTCCCTCTCTCTCTTTCTCACTACAAGTATCGGAGATTACAGTTAACGAAAGAGAGAAGAAGGAAGAAAACACATACTAGAAATGACGAATCACCGACGCGCTCCTTCTTTCAATCCGACGAACGGGGAAGACAATGCTATGTAAGCTTTTCAATCGATTAATGTCTTCGATTTTTTACCATTTTATCGAAGATTCCTTGTGATGATAGGTTTCTTGATATACTCCACGAAGCTCCTCTCTTCGGTCATCGAGAATCTAGAAGTCTTGTTGGAAGCTGCGTTTACCTATTCATCTTGGCAAGTGTTTTTGTAACTTCCTTTTTTGTGAAAGAAAATTGAGTGTATTACTTTTATATATTTACTTTTTTTCTTTTGGTTACTATATGTAGGCAGCTTACGCTGTTTTAGCAGTTGGAGCACCGCTGATACTTCAGCCTGTACAGTCTCTTATCCCATCGCTTCTTTGCAGTTGCAATGTTGCTCTTTTGATGTTAACAGGTAACAAACACTCAACACACCATTTCAGCACATCACTACAAAGAAATTGTAAATAGGCATGATCATGGTACTGATTGTTCATAGCCGAAGAAACCACCATCCAATCCCATATTTAGTTAATGTGGAGTTCAGAAGTGAGAACAACATTCTCTTGCTTTGATCTGACCTGTACAAATCATTAAAATCGATTTTCACATTATCATCCGTCTACCTCTGTTACCATGTCATGTTTCTGCTATGAAGTATTTCTTCCTGGAGCATTATGTGTAAAATATCGTAATTGTTTTCTGCTACAGGTATGTTTCAGCAATATTTCGTCAACCAGGTCCAGAAAATACGCTTGCAGGTAACATTTTTCCTAACGAAGTGGATACTGCTCATTTTTATTTCTTTTGCTAGCGATGTTGTAGACATAGGTGGATATTCTCTAGTGTAGCTTTAGTTGTTTCATCTGGTGACCTTCTGAATGAACCTTCTATTGCAGGGCTATTACAGTTTCAGCCAGAAATTAAAACATGTAGTCCGTCTGCCATTTGCCATCATGGCATATGGTAATTTGTAGCGCTACTTTTGCAGTTATATAGTTTTTAATATATCTCTTTATTGTGAACTCAATATAGTTGACTCCGTTTTGTTTTAGGAACTGCATCTATGCTGCTTTTCATGGTCTGGAGACCATATGTCAGCGTTCTTCCCATTTTAACTGTGCAAAGGTCTGCATCCTTCTTTTTAGATACATTAACTTCTATTTTGCCAAGGTCCCAAACGCTTACTTACGAGTACTTAAATGTTTCAGGTTTATCATGTCTGTTGAAGCAATATCGGCTGCTTCGTTTATGATTGTATTTGTTGGTAAGCATAAGGTCTAGAAAACCATTCTCATACTTTAGGCATGCGTTCAGAACTAATTAATGGTACCTCAACTAGAGAAATATATTGCCAAACCTTTTCAGCTATTAGGCCTGGATGATTTCTTCGTCTTATTTTTTCTTGCCATGATTGCCAAGTGCAGATATGAAACCAGTTTGTATTTGTCATGTGTCTGAACACTCTTGCGATCATATGCTTGCTAAATCACCATGAATCGTCTACATTTTGTGATCAAATAAATTTGTATTTATGTGTGCAATTTTTACAATTACCTATACTTTGTGTTTGAATATCAGGAGATCATTGAAGTTCCTTTAAGAATTGCTGTTCTGGGTTTCAGTATCAGAACTTTTTATTTTGTTTTCTTTGTTCACATTGCTAGAGCATTATGCAGCTGATCTTATCTGTATTTAATATTGGTAGGCTATGTTCGCCAGTATAACTCAGTGAACTCTCAACCCGATGTGTTAAATTCATTATATTCTCCTCTTCAACCAGCTGCTTTGGAAGGATTGAGGTATTTACACAATCACACTGGAATTTATATTTGTTTTCACGAAAATTTCGTTCAAATCTTACTTAGTTTTGTTTGCTTGAAAAACAGATACCATGAAGCGGGTCGACTTTCTGATCAGCAGATGGCTCTACTGCAATATCAGCGCGAGAATCTCCATTATCTCAGTGAAGAGGTGAGATTACATGAATTGTTTTTCATGCATACTTTTCATTTCTGAATCTTGATGCTCGTGTTTTTCCTTCTAAACTACAGTTTCGTATTAGTAGTCCTAACTTTACTGCTTTCTATAACTCATCATCTACCCTAATTTTCTGAATAATCCCATGTATGTTGCTAGAGTGAGTTTCTGATCGTTGTTGTGTATGCTTTCAGATTCTACGTTTGCAAGAGTCCTTAAGCAAATATGAACAGTCCAATGGTACTAGCACGCCCCAGGTTTGCAAACTGACGAATGCTTTTCTTTTACCCTCTGTGTTTTTGATATTGCAATTAATAAGTGTTAAAATTTTCAGGTTGATCTGGCACACCTTGTGGCGACTCGTGATCAGGAATTACGAACACTTTCTGCTGAGGTAAAGTTCGCTTAACAAATGAGACACTTGCAAAGTCACGTGGTTGATTTTTCTTACAAACTTGGTGGGAGATAGTTGATTGGCATTTCAAGGCTAAACTCTTTTTTTTTTTAATCTATAACATATTTGAATGAAGGAGGATACTAAATGAAAACGGTATGTGTGTAGGTGGATCAACTCCATTCTGAACTCAATCTCGCTCGGTCTCTAATCTCTGAGAGAGATAGAGAGATACAGCACGTCCGGAATACCAATAATCAGGTACGATCTATCTATTAACATAAGAACTTATGAGGAACAGAAGGAATCATCGCCATCACAGATTGACCGACCAGCTTGCAAGGGCTACTCATTTCTGAAAGCTTTTATTTGTTTAGACAAGAAAATGCTCAAAAGAGAAAGTAATAGTCTTCTTTTGTAACAACTCGTGAAACAGTATGTAGCAGAGAATGAGAGGTTAAGAGCTATACTGGGAGAATGGAGTATGCGTGCTGCAAAGGTAAATAAATGCATATGATTTGTGCGAGTATATAGCAAGTAGTATTATATGCGAATCATGTTCGAATGATTCTCGTTCCATATAGTTTGTGTGTTTATGGAATTCAAAAATCAATTTGTTTAATATATGTTTTTAACAAGTTAAATGGGATATGTAATGTTATCCAGCTTGAACGAGCTCTGGAGGTGGAGAGGATAACAAATGTTGAACTGCGGAAGAAAGTTTCAACTCTGAGAGAGCAAAGACAGATGCAATGAACAAGGTTGTTCGTTGGGGTTTAGCATGTACATCTTATAGCTACTGTATATCACTCATGAGGCATGGTTTGTAGACATAATATTTGTGACATTGTTTTGTAAGATATCTTTGATGCATATTTTCTTGAAATATATTTGACTAGAATGAAATTTCAAAAACTAGTAATAAAAAGAAATATGTAAAAGTATTTTTTTTGAAGCACAAATTATGTAAAAGTATAATTTTCCTTTTTGACATCAAATGTGTAAGTATTTTTTTTTTATAAAAGACTAGATTATTTCTTTGGTTCAGATGTTTACATTATTTATTTAACCAATTAAAAAGATTTGTTTGGATGATAAAAGAAAAAAAAATTATATATGTTAAATTGTGTAAATAAAAAAAGAAAAACTGAAAAAAATAAGGGAACCGACTAATATAAAAACCCACAAGGCTTTGTATTGTATAAACTCTGTAATCAGAATTTCAATTATTTCCTTGCGATCGTCCCCTCTTCGACTTTTATTAGGGTTTTCGATTTTTCAGAGATCAAATCAATGGCTTCTCTCGATACCGACGTTAACATGATCCCCGCCGGTGAATCCTCTAACTCCGCTGCACCTTCTTCATCGAGCAAGAAGGCGAAGAGATTCGAAGTTAAGAAGTGGAGCGCCGTCGCTCTCTGGGCTTGGGGTAATCACGAGCTAATCCTCTTTTTTATATTATCTGATTGAATGGTTAGGTTAGGGTTTGATTGATTATTGATGTTTATTTTTTGTGATTGACAGATATCGTTGTTGATAATTGCGCTATCTGCAGAAACCACATCATGGATCTCTGTAAGTTACAATCGATTCATAAGGAGTTTGTTAACGATGAATGATGAATCAGGAGATTATTGAATTGTTAGGTTTAGATCGTTCTTGTTTGTGTTTGTTTAGGTATTGAATGTCAGGCTAATCAGGCCAGCGCTACGAGTGAGGAATGCACTGTTGCTTGGGGTGAGTCTTGTTTCTTCTACGCCTTTTGAATTGTTGTGATGTTTGCTTCCTAATTGAGATTTGATTTAGTTGATTACAGTTGTGATTGTGTATATTAGAAACGTATAAACTATACGCAAGTTTTAGTGATTTAGTATCTTTAAGAGTGCGTTTGTTCAATCTTGACGTTGAATTTTGCTTGTGTTGTGGAGAATAGTGCCATTGTTTAGATTAATGGAATGCAAGATCTTATAAGAAAAGGCAAGATTGTAGTTTTTGTTTTGCGTCCTTTTATTATCCTGCAGGGGTTTTATACTTGGAGTTTTCTCTATGATTGAAAGATGAATCATAAACTCACTTGCGTCACATATCTTTGTATCTCAATTGCTTGATTTAATGAGTGATGATGAATCTTGTTAGCTAGAAAAGTAGATAGGAACCCTTTTTTGTTTTGTTTTCTGGTAGAGAGACTAGGAAGTTTCTATTAAGAGATCCTTAATCTCTATCCATTGTGTGTTTAGACAACTTTCAAAAAAAATCCAAATACATACGATGCTAGTGCCTTCCTTAACTGAAAGACTAATTATTGTTTGTACTTGTACAGGGGTTTGCAATCACGCGTTCCACTTTCACTGTATCAGCAGATGGTTAAAGACTCGTCAAGTTTGTCCATTAGGTATGTGTTTCTCTTTTTGAAGCTCTTTCACTTTGCAGTTTTTTTCTGTTTGTTAATATTAGCTCTTGCTTTTTAACAGATAACAGTGAGTGGGAGTTCCAGAAATATGGTCACTAAAATCAACGAATCGTGCCATCAACTTTGTCTTATATAAGATGTCATGCTCATTTCACTGCCGCATATGAGATACTAAGATTTGCTCAAACTTCTTGTTTCCTTTGTTTTCGTTTTTTCCTTGTTGTGTGAAGACAGAGATATTTAGTTTAACTGAATCTATTATTCTTTTTTGCTTCAGTAATGTCTTAAAAAAATTTAAAAATTTATCATCTCTGCCATTTAAGTTTTAGTGGTAAGTGTGTTACTTGCTTGTTCTAACCTCCACTTAAGTCTTGCTTAAGGGTTTCGTCACCTGCTGCTAAAAAAAAAACAAACTCATATAGAATGTGTACTAAACCAAGTCTTGTCCCCACTTTCACTAACAAGTACCAACTAGTTGAGCAGTATTGACAACCCTATCACCACTTGAGAATAAGTGTGCTCTAATGCTTGCAAAAACATATTGCTTGATTTCACTCTATTACAGCCATTAGAGCATGATAGTCTAATAAACAAGAATCTAAAATAATGCAATTGAATGAGTTTCTATAACCAGTTTGAAGCTTAAACGTAAATAATACAGTCCATGTCACGCGTGTGAGAAGAAGGTAAAGTTTCTACTGTTTCGATTGATATTTAAGATTTGTGGGACAGGGAGGCACAAGGAGTACATGTGGAATGATTTCTCTTTAAAAGAAAGATAAGAATTACTTCAGCTTGGATAATATATATTTAAAAAAACGGTATACCGAGAATGAGGAATCAAAAAACACAAAACCGTTTTGATGCAGGGAAACCAGATTTTATTTAAGAAGATGATCACAAGTATTGTTCATGTATCCTTGCCCTGTTCTCTTCCCACCATAACCTAGCTTGCATCTCTCCGAATATCTCTCGGCTGCAATCCAAAAAATAAAGTAACACATTCATTGAGACTTTTGAGTTAAAAAAAACAATGGATGAAACAATGTAATGAAACTCTCTTTTTTTCTGTTTTTTTTAGTTCACCTGAATCTGACTCTTCTAAGCTCTCTTTTCCCATTTGGTAAAACTTTGATGGTAATATAAACGCCAGGCTCATCTTGCTCCACCCATTCGTTCTGATCAACATCACTCGCATTGCTTACCGACATTTCCTCTGACCTGTCTGCATCTCTCGACGAGCTATCCATGGAAGAAGTTTCTGTTTTGGCCCCACTTATGCTTGAAAGTTTAGGAGTTGAGTTTTGTAGACCAGAGTCGTGAAACTGCTGGCTTTGCGTGTAACTATGGTCGAGTGAGTCCGAGGATGAGTAAGCAGCCAATCCTGCTGGACGATGTACGGTACGAGGCAACCGTTCTTTGTCCAAAGGTGGTGTTGCAGGAGTATCCTCTGGATGGTACTCCACTTTTGCTTTCTGACAAAAGATTTACAGATGAACATATTAGTGGATAATCATAGCTTTAGTTGTCTTGTTTAGAGATCCGATTAAGCTAACCTCATCTTCGGATCTAGGAGGTGTAGGAAGAGGGAAAGCGTTGCGGCTTAGTTTTTGAACGTTGTAAAGTTCTTTTACTTTGTCATAGTTATCTGCCCACCATCGTTGAGCTTGTAACTTGTTGAACATGTCTCGGCTGGTCAAGATTTTAAAAACATAACAGAAGTGAGAAAAACTATATTTTGGAAACATGTTGTCTTAATCTTATAAAGTTAACAAATGGTATGTTATAAGAGTGAAAGACCAAAAGATAAAATAATCATCTCATATGAGCAAACTTTAAGTTAAATAGCTTAGGCTATCATAACTCACATAGGTTTTGTGACACATGATATTCATGAGATTCTAAGTTTAATTTAGATTGTCCAATAAAATTGTGAGAAGAAGGTAACTTTAATCAGAACCAAGAAACAAAAGTGGGAATTAACCAAAGCGGATTAAGGGGAGGTTTGTCAAAGTAACAATAGCTGTTTTCAATAAAACCTTTTGACAAAATTGAACCCATAGGCTAGGGCTAAAAAGAGAGTTGAAAACAAGAGATACCAATGCTACATTTTGAATGTCAATTTTCTTTTAAAAAGGTAGTTAATGGAGTCGCTAATAGTAATAACAATCAAAATTATGTAGAAATTAAGAAAAAAACATTGAGGAAAAACAGAGGCAAAAATGGTCAAAGCTAATAATTAGATAAGATGATTATGGCTAACAGTGAAAGTAATTATGTGAGAGCTGGGTAGGAGAGAATTCTCAAAGCACACTCATTTTTTCTAATCGTATAACTTTATCCCAAGATTAATAATTATACTATATGTTTACCAAAAATCTAAACTAGACAATACAAAACACAAAATTAACTAAGATTAATCTGATGGAAAATGAAGGAAAGAACATAAAGAAGGACCAAAGTTTGACAAAAGACACAGTAAATGACAGAAATGGAACTGTGGCTGATACGGGAAGAAGACAAAGAATGGAAGCAAGGAAGAGACAAAATACGTTGATGTTGTCGTTTTCAAGAGGCGACATAGGAGTGAACGAAACTGTGCTAAAGGCTAAAGCTGTTTGCTTTATTTTATTTTAATATTTGTATATACTATTTCTTCTTTTGTCTTTTGGAATAACAAGACATTGCCACCAACAACAGCAATAATGTGATTGCATGACAGAGAAGCGGAGAATAAGGCACTCATGATATTAATAAAACAAAATTTCTATTGAAGCAAAACAAAAAATGCTGAGAAAGAAACCCCAGATAGTAGTGAAAATGATTAAAAGATAAAAACTCTACCAACCAATGATTCTGTATCTTTGATTGAACAAAACAAATCTATAGAAACATTTCTTAGCATCTTAATAACTTTTTAACACACTTATATTATATAGTGATTTCATATGATTGATAAAACAAATGCAGCAGGTCATTCATAAGTTTGAAAGCTTTTGTTTTCTTTAAAGTTTCTGGTGTGGACTGAACATTTTGATTTTGAAGATAACAAACAAAAAGAAAAGAAACAATAAAGTAATAGTCAATCAAGATTAGCCTAATTTTGAAAGAAAACATAAAGGATAAAAGCAGAAAAAGGAGAAGAACAGAATGAGAAGAGATGATGATGACCCAAAGAAGCACTTTAAAAAAAGAGGGAACACCAAGTTTTGCTTTTTGGACCTTTGCTTCTGCTCATCAGGCGTGAAGGCGTTACAGTCAACAACTGTTGGTCCCATCCCTCTTTTATTTTAATTTTTTTACCTTTCATTTACATTTTCACACCAACATATTTACCCATTTTTCTATTCAAGACAAGACATCAAACAATGTCAAATGTGGTACTATTTTGTTTTATTTTCTCCATATCATCCAAAATGGATAATAATAAATTTACCAAATTTATTTTAATTCAGAAAAACACAAATATGAACCATAAAACCTGAACCAAAAGATTAAGCCCAAAAATGTCCTATAAAGAATTGTAATGTTCTAATTATAATCTCGAGATATATAATTACTTATAAAAAAAAAAATAAGTGGTAGATTTTCTCTAAAATACATGGCATGATTGTTAGGTTGTAGTTTCTTAAGTTATATTGTATCAACATACCTTGCTTTAGACATGGAAATCCACAAAATCATACTTAATCCATATTATATACACTAATTTATTTATTTTAAATACAATTATATATTATGCTCTACACTGATAGTATTATATTAGTATTTTTTAAATAAGATAATCAGATTCAGTTCCGAGCATCTTCCGAACATTCTCCAAATCACGACCAAACCAAAACAAACGTGGAGAAAAACAAGAAAACGAGCCGACAACGAACGAAACCACAAGTAAAACTAAAACCTCTCACCGTACGATCAGAATAACAAACTCCAACACAAAACAATCACGACCATTAGATTAAAAAAAAGCAAAGTATACAGAGTTTTGCGTACGTACCTGAAACGTATACGCTTGAGATCATTACCACCACCGGGAAGAGACACGAAGGTAATGAGGACACCTGGCTCCACCTGAGCAACCCACTCCTTCGGTTCTTTCTCCTCCACGAACACAATCGGGTCAACCCGGTTCCTCCCGCTCGCTGATTTCGGAGTCGCTTCGCCGCTCGATATCCCTTTAAGCCTCGCCTCCATCTCTTTCCCCCACACTCTTGGCTGCTGCATCGCCGTCGCCGCCGCGGCGGCGGTGACGGAGCTGTTTGATCTTCCGTACAGACTCTTGAACCGTTGATCGGATTCGGTATCCGATTTCGCCGTCGTCGTCGTTGGATTGTTGTTCTTGATCGGTTGTCCCTGAGGCTGCGCCGCCGTGCACGGCGTGCAATGCCGGTAAGCACCTGAAGCTTTCAGAGCCATGTCTTTGAGCTGTGTTAAAATGACGAAAATGCCCTCGATCAGAATTAGAAGGAGGCGGAGGTAGCAGAGAGAGAGAGATATTAGTACCTGAGATGTTAGAGATTTGGCGTGCTTAGAATCCGGATCGTCGGGTTGACCCGAGGATTCATCACCGGCTCGCTTAGAACGAGCTATACACGTCAGCATTTTCCGGCGACTGGTTATTTTGTCTTTTTGGATAGGGAGATAGAGAGAGAGAGAGATGCTGTCAGTTTCTTTACTTTGGTTTGGGTTTGGTCCTCTTTTTATGTTTCTCTGATGTCTCTGTTTTTTTTTTAAATTAATTAATCAAAACTTTAACCGGGATTACCGGTTTTTATTTAATTAAAAAGGGTCCCGCGTCTCTCTACGGTAATTCCGCTATTCTGATGCTCCCACTCGGTGGTTAAAAAAATCGTAAAAGGTAAACCATTTCGATCTACTGATTAGCTAAAGCTTACAACAAGTAGACCACTAGTTCATATAAATTATTAACGCGTTGCTGCTTGTTTTATTTAGACTTTTAGAGGTATCAAAGGTTGCTGTTCACCGTAGTCAAGTGTTGTGCTCAATGATTCGATTATCGATGTATTCAAATTTGGCTCTCTGACTTTTGAGAAACCTGAAACGAAAGAAAGTGTTTGTTTGTGACTTAATAATGCTTTGCGGTAGTAAGATTTGTTCATATCTTAATTCATTTCACTTTCGAGTTAGTTCAATCTTGAATGACAAGAGATACCTGACATTATTAAACACTGCTCTCTGTTTTTATCATTCAGAGATACAAAACATGTCATGTGAGACGTTTTCTTTGTAAAGAGTTATAACCATCATAACATTGAAGAGGTGACAATGGCTTGACAAAGCTTTCTTTGATAAGTTTCTAACCACATCTTCAGATGCTTGACAATAATTGAATCGTTTACACAGCTTAACTCCGTTATACAAACACAGATCAATTAGGATATATACACAAAATGAAAATTATAAGTCAAAATACAGAAAGTAGAAACCATAAAGTGATCATATGTAATGTATTGCAAAACAATATAAACTCTGGTTGAAATGTTTAGTGTTTCGTATATCAATATCCCAACACATCTATACAATCAAATTTGAAAGAATTACAATTTTTTCATTTGATTTGCTTTAACACGAACTTACATTGCCATAATCTCGTTCGATCTCACTTCATTTCTCTACATGAATTTATACTCTCTTTATTATCAAAGAATTTATACTCTAATTTTGGTTGTTATCATAATAGATTTTGGACCGATCTAGGACATAATAAACAATCTCAATATTCAACGATTGGCTTCTTTTGGCCCATTATAGGACTTGCTGGGCTCTATCATACGTTCTAAAAATGGGTTCATGTGGGCGTTTGGTATAAACGGTTTTTAAGCCTATAATCCTACTATATATCTTAACGTATCTGTAAACAAACAAACAAACAAAGAGTTCTCTCTCTTTAGATATGTACTTCCGTAATTTCTCTTTGCACAGTTTACCCCTTTCTCAAGTTGCTTCATTCATTTCTTTCTTGGTTCCCTCTAGGCTCTAACTCCATTTCAATGCTTACGGTCTCTCGTTTTTAGAAGTTCCTTTTTGTAGTGATTCCTTATGCATATATATTGTTAGTGTACAGCTTGCTTCTAGGTTCTTCTGTAGATTTGTTGTCTGTAATTTTTGTGTCTGATTTGCGGAACTGACAATGAGTACTTGATTACGTAGAACATTTAATCAATGTTTCATACTTCCTGTGCTAGTTGAGAAACTCAAAATCTGTGCTAGTTGAGAAACTGAAAGTCTGTATTGTATGCCATTTCAGAGGACAATCTTTGCTTGTATGGATTCCCAAATGAAGTTTGGGAAGTTAATTTACCAGCTGAAGAAATACCTCTACAGCTTCCAGAACCTGCACTTGGCATCGACTTTGCCAGAGATGGAATGCATGAAAAAGATTGGCTTCCTCATATTGCTGTCCACAGTGATGCGTAGTTACTTTCTGTCTCCTTTTACTTTGGTTCAAGATTTCTATAAGCTGACAGGTATTATCCTTTCTTTCTTGATTGGTCTGTATTCTCTTCTAACCTGGTCTATATTTTCTAAGATCTTCTCTACCATATCATGATATCTCCAACATTTCCACACTAACTGGTATGCTTACTAATACAGGAAGCGCTTGTTCAACATGTACATGATCAATGAGGTTGCTACTACATTCGAAGCTGTAACCGGAAGTTCAAGAAAAAAACAAAAACAAAGGGAAAACCCTCAACAGAAAATCAAAATGGTAACAAATGTAAGTGAAATTCAAAAGTGGTAAGATTCATGATGTCATTTAATGAGGTTTAGTATTTTTATGAACTAGGAACAATCCAAACTAAAGAACCTTAAGATGAATTCCCATAAGTCCATCACCTTAACTCCTCTCTTAGTACACTAACCGATCTAAAGCTGTTTGTTAGGTTAGCTGGTAATTCAACTACACTCTTACACGAAAAAGGTCGACCATAGTTGTATATGATATCCTGTAATCGTTGGATCTGTACTTAGTATGAACTCTAAGAGGCAACTTGTAATGAAATGGCCGGCTAGTGTCTTTCTAAGGTTTACACTGTTATGTTGGGGTAGTTAACATTTTCCTTGCTCTAAAATGCAGAGAGATTTAGATGGCAAAAGTTCAAATACAATACAAGCCATGGAAAAGAAAGACGAACACGGTGATACCTTGTCTGGAGCTTGTGGAGATAACTATGCTTCTGCCTTCTGATCAATTCTGGATTTGCTATGACATGTGCGAGAAATGGTTCCATGCGTAGATCATTCCAGCTAGAGCTGAGCATATCAAGCATTACAAGTGCCCTTCTACATGTAGCAACAAAAGAGCCCGACCCTAAAATCTTTTATTCCACTAGTCTTTCTATCCATCATCGAAATTGTACAATGCACTTTAAATCTGTTTGTTGTTCAGAGAGAGTTGGTTTGATTTGAAGCATGTCCAGATTTGATTCCTCAATCCAACTTGAAGTCTTTGATAAAATATATGTATATTCTACAAGGGGCCATGACCAAGCTGTCTATAAAATAATCATATTTTGTAGTAGCCATAATCATTTTCACCACTTGCACTGTATTCTAGTTGCTGGTTTCCTAATTACAAACTCGTTTAAATATTTGTTTCTTATAATTATTCTATAGTTTTTTTTTGGTTAAAAATATATTTTAATTGTTATATAGTTATTGCTGTAATTAGTCCTAAAGTCCATGTAAACAAGTATCTTAAAGTGTAGACGTTATCTAATATAATCCCTCATCACGAAAATAAGAGTCAAAACTATTTTAAAACTTAAAAGACGTTATGTACAAGTTATATCCAAAAGATAATTTCAAAATAGAAAAACTTATTAAAACTTATACACATAAACCTGTCCTCAAACGAGAGCTATTAAATAGGGAAAATAATTAGAGACAAATTAGCCATAATTTACTCAAAATTAAAAATACTTTAATTCTCTTTAAAAAAAAAACTTTAATTTGGTAGAAAAAGGCAGAGAAATATAAAACGAGCAAGTCAAAGGGAAAAGACAACAAAAAAAACGTAACTAGTAAAATAAACTAACGACAATAATCATCCTTATTTTCCGTTGGCTGCTTCTAACCTATATTCAAGTGTGTGTGTTGGTGTGGGTGGCTGACCACAAACGAATATCCAACGCGATCCACCTCACCGTCCCCTTAAGTCTCACTGGACCCCACTCAAACAATCTCTATTCTCAAGCACCAAAAAAAATTAAATTCTTTTTTCTTTTTTGAAAAATAAAAAAGTGTATAGAGTGAGAGAATGTTGACACAGCTCAAAAGAAAGAAAAAACATTGCTGCTTGCTCAAGGAGAGAGAAAAAGGAGCCATTAGACGTCTGCTGCTAGAAGACCAAGTCCCCATTCTTCTTCAACAACACCATCAGCCTTTCTAGAGATAGAGAGAGAAAACATTCCGATTCAGTTTCCACTTATCCGATCTCCCCCGATTTCCAATTTGACTCCGAAGAAAACTTTGAGACTCACCAAAACCTAGAATCACCCCGATCTGACTCGGCGCTCTGAAAGCTCGGCTTCTCTTGCGGATGAGCTAGTGGCAGCGGCATAGATAGGATCTATCTGGAGGAGGATTAGCTATGGTAAATCCTGCCATCATCCTCTTCGTTTTCTCGGCTTTCTCTGTTTATGTATTCGTTTATTAATGGTTGTTTGATTTAATCAAGTAAATGGATTGATTCTCGACAGTTTATCTGATTTTGATGCTCGTTGTTAGATATGAGATTTGCGTTTCGATCTGTAGATCATTGAACGAGCGATTGCTCAATAGATTTTATCCTATTTGAATGGCACCGATAATATACAAGTTGCGGAACATATACAAGTAGGGTTGCAAGTTGTATAACACAGCTTGGACCATTTCACTTATCTTATAGTTTTTATACATGTTTTTTTTAAAACTTCTATTATTAGTTTGCTTTGAACCTGCTTAAGATAGCATGTCCTTGTGAAGTCATATTAGGAAGCTTCTATATAGTTTTGCTTTGTTCCTCATTGTTCTCTACAAGATCTTGAAAAGCGTTCTTTCAAGTTTTTTGTTTGTGATTTTAAGTATATAGATTCCCTAAATTCAGATTAGAACAGGTGCTTGATTGTGTGAAGTTATTGAAATATGTGTACCTCACATTTTCAAGCTTGATATCCTGTAGGTTGGTCCAGTCAATATAATCGTTGGTTCTCATGTTTGGATTGAAGATCCTGGAGTGGCGTGGATTGATGGACAAGTTGTCAAAATTAGTGATGAAGAAGTTCATGTACAGACCACAAATGGGAAGACCGTAAGTTTTCTATCCTTCTGCCCTGTTTTTTTGCATGTGATTTTCCTTATGAGAAAGAATGTCACTGGAAAATGTCATTATTCCTTAACCCCTTTTGGCCTTGGATACTTGTTACTTATCTAACATATCAGCTTGTCACTGACATTCTACTACAATCACTGAAACCAGATATTTTATTAAACAATCAGTGAAATCTAATTTCAGGTTGTGGCCAAAATCGCAAATGTATTTCCGAAGGATACAGAGGCTCCCCCTGGGGGTGTTGATGACATGACAAAGCTCTCATATCTACATGAACCAGGTGTTTTGAATAACTTGGCCATGAGATATGAGCTGAATGAAATTTATGTAAGTTATTTTGCATTTTTACTGCTGAGTTCTAATGAAATCACGTATTTACTTTCTAAGCAGGACAAAGTCCTAAGTATTTCCTTTAAATTGCCTTTGCAGACTTATACTGGAAACATCTTGATTGCTGTAAATCCGTTTCAAAGGTTACCACATCTGTATGATACTCATATGATGGAGCAGTATAAAGGAGCAGGTTTTGGTGAATTAAGCCCACATGTGTTTGCAATTGCGGAAGTTGCTTACAGGTAATTAGGACCAATCAATGGTTCCGCTTGCAGAAATTCTCTGAATCACTCTTTATTCCTTCACTGTCTCATGCTAGTCTGTCGCTTCTGTGAGTAGGGCAATGATCAATGAGGGCAAGAGCAACTCAATTCTGGTTAGTGGGGAAAGTGGCGCTGGTAAAACTGAGACCACAAAGATGCTTATGCGATACCTTGCCTACCTTGGTGGTCGATCCGGCGTTGAAGGAAGGACAGTGGAACAGCAAGTTCTGGAGGTGAGCGTCACAAATCTATGTTAGCTACTGTATTGTTACATTTATAGAGAGACTTGTAGATTAACTATTTTGCTTTCTTTTTGTTGGTAAACAGTCAAATCCAGTTCTTGAAGCTTTTGGAAACGCCAAGACTCTTAGGAATAACAACTCCAGGTATGCGCATGTTCACTGATAGTTTTTTCCTACGAATTGTCTCTTGAAATGCTTTGTGATTGCGTAGTCAAACTTGTTCTTGGCCAAAAGCTTCTTCAGTCGCTACTTGTCAGAAAAATTGTTGTGTAATTAAGAAACCTCAGTGATCAATTGCAAAGATGGCACATGAAATAAGTTAAATGACATAAACCACATTGATTTTCTAGCCTTCCGCAGGCTAAAAGCGAAGGATAAATATTTGTTCCTACAGCAGCCTACTTTACTGATAAATTATTGTGTTATGAGAAAGTTGTTGTAATGACTTCTTATTAGAAAAGCTTCAAAGCAAACAACCCCATTTCTTTAAATCATAATACAGTCGATTTGGAAAGTTTGTGGAGCTTCAGTTTGACAAAAGTGGGAGAATATCTGGAGCAGCTGTCCGAACGTATCTGTTGGAAAGGTCTCGAGTGTGTCAAATATCAGATCCAGAAAGAAATTACCACTGTTTTTACCTTTTATGTGCTGCCCCACCGGAGGTACTGGTGCTTCACAATGATAACAATAAACCTTACTGTGGAGTGTTCTGGTTTAATTAATTGGGGATTTGATTTCTTTTCCAATTCTGTAGGAAAGAGAAAAGTTTAAGTTGGGAGATCCTAAGTCATTCCACTACCTAAATCAATCGAAGTGCTTCAAACTGGATGGAGTGGATGACACCGAGGAATATCTTGCTACCAGAAGAGCTATGGATGTTGTTGGCATCAGTGAAGAGGAACAGGTCAGTTTTCCACTTTCTCCTTTTCCATCAAGAGTGATTTCTCTGATAGAGCATATTCATGATTCTTCTGATAAATGGTATCAGGATGCAATCTTTAGAGTTGTTGCTGCAGTCCTTCATCTAGGTAATGTCGAATTTGCGAAAGGGAAAGAGATTGACTCCTCAGTTTTGAAGGATGAAAAATCGAGATTTCATCTGGAGACGACTGCTGGACTTCTTAGGTATGTGCTGCTTACTTGTTTAATCTTGATTTCTGTTTTGTTTGTTTTTACATCCTTGATCCTGGACTCATTTCTTTCAAAAGGTGTGATGCAAAGAGTTTGGAAGATGCATTGATAAAACGTGTAATGGTGACCCCAGAAGAGGTTATTACAAGAACACTTGATCCTGATTCAGCCACGGGTAGCAGGGATGCATTAGCAAAAACTATCTATTCACGCTTGTTTGATTGGTATACAAAAAGAATCTCTCTTTGCATTTACAGGCTCTTGTCCTATTTTGTTTTGTATTCCCCCTAAGTCGACTCTTCTATAGAAAACATGTTTCAATTATTGCAGTAGCTGCCACTTGAAATTTCGAACTTCTTACACCTCATATTTTTTTTCCAGGCTTGTTGATAAAATTAACAATTCCATCGGGCAAGATCCAAATTCTAAGACAATAATTGGTGTTCTTGATATCTATGGATTTGAAAGCTTTAAAATCAACAGGTAAATTTGGTAGCTTGCAGAATTATTTCCTCTTCTGTAATAGTATGATAGGCTGTAATGAGTTTCATGTATTTTTTTCCAGCTTTGAGCAATTTTGCATCAATTTTACCAATGAAAAGCTGCAACAACATTTCAACCAGGTCTGTTGTGCTCTTTCCCACTAGCTTCTAAGTATATTGATCTCATCCTGCTTAGTTTTTGACTTTTGACGTACAATTTTTCTTTTCACAGCACGTCTTCAAAATGGAACAAGAAGATTATACCAAAGAAGAGATTAATTGGAGTTACATAGAATTTGTGGATAACAAGGATGTGTTGGAACTCATTGAGAAGGTATCCTAATTTTAATTTATGCAAATTTATTCGTAATATAGTTTTGCGTTGAACTACAACTAATTCCTTAGTTGACACTTATGGTGTATAT